CAAAACAGATTTGGAGTGATTCCTAAAACAATATTGACTATACCTCTACAGACATTTCATCTGAAGAGCTCAAAGCACAACGCAGAGCTTTAGTTTGCCTTACATTATGCTGGTGAGGTATGTGCCTCCTTCTGTGTTCCACATGAGCAGTGAGGCTGCAGGTCTGTGAGAGTCTAAGGCAGTAAAAAATTCTGGGTTTATGGCCCTGCCTATTTCTCTGAATCCACTATTCATTTAAAGTCTATGGCGTGTCCCTGCTCCGGCTCTGATCTGATCCACAGTATCCTGGGTCAAGGACCTAACCTGGCAGAAAAAGATCAGCAGAGCACTAGTGCCACACTAAGGAAGGAGCTGAATTGCAGTGAGAGTAGCCATGATCAGCCTAAGGAATTACACAATTACCAGTCGAATCTGCTCCTTTTCTTTTGTACTGAAAAAATAAACAAATAAATATAATCACAATAATAAAAATATTGAAATGTTGTTTGTAAGGTTTTTTTCCTAACCTTTTAGGAGGGAAATAGTCATCTATATTTCACCAATACAAAGCTGTAATATGTCCTATTTGATTTTCAAAATCAACTTCCTGCTTTCTCCTACTGTGCTATACTGCTTGGGTACTTGGGAGGAGCTCAATCTAATCACCTGTCTGGTTATTATTTTCTTGGGGTCTCTTGCTTAGTCTATTCTAACTTCGTAGGCATTTTTGAGCAGAAACCTTAAGCATTACTATAGAACTTAGCAGAAAAAACCCTTGTCCAGGACTTGAGAAGCTTTTTCAAATAAGTCATAAATCACCATAATAATACAAAAGAGAAATACTAACATTGATCATGATGATTACACATCAGATTCTTTATCCTGCTATTACTGAAGTCAATAGCAAAACTGCATTGACTTCAGATGGTGTGAGATTATACCTTACAGCATATTATTCCATTTGATTTTGACAATATTTTTTTGTAAAGTGTCTTCACATAAAGAAAACCCTAAACTTTATAGAAGTGCACACACACAGACTGGACTGAAAATGATACAGATGTAGATATATCCACAGGGTGAATATAATGTATGCATATGTGTAGATACCTTTTTTTTCGCAAGACTCCTAAGGTGATGTAGGCCTTGTGTTTGTGCTTAGATTGATATGTCTGGTAATCTCAGAACTCCTGTCAAGATTAGTTTTATTATCTAAGTGAACAGTAATTTAAAAGAAATAACATTTTATTGAACTTCTGCTTAAATCCAAGCAACTTCAGATAAAGGCAGTCTGCCTTGGTGTGATGTGACTTGAGAACTGAAACTGCAAGTTCCTCAGAAACTGCCACCCACTTTCATCTGTGTAACACTCAAAGCCACACTGTGTAGTTATATTAAGCTCAAATGAAATTAATTAGTTTTTAAAGAAAAGTAGCTGTAATGAAAAATCTTAAATATAATTTTAAAACTGTAATTTAATACAAATTCATGACACCAATGTCTGCGTATGCAGAGGTTCTATTTAATTTTCATTAAATAATGTAATAAGTTTTTTCAAATATCATTTGACACTAGTAATTCCTTTTTTATTATGTGTCTTATATTAAACTGATAGGCTAGTATTTCATACTGAGACTGCAGGCTGGTCTGTTCCAGCTGCTTACACTAGAGCACCCACTGGATGGCAGTCACGTACAACCTTGGAAGGAATTCAGCACAGTACTTTAACTCACAGCCCTGTAAAGAAACCGTGGGTTCAGTGCCTCTGGGGAAAAAAAATTTCTTTTGTTAGATAATGCTAGTTTAATACAAAGACAAGCAAATAAAAGTGAGAGGACAGAAATTTCACTGTTCCCTGACTGTTGTTGTCTTGTGCTGCACCATTTCGTTCCAGGTGCCAGGATTAGAGAAGGGTGTAGCTCAAGGCTGGCTGCAGAAAGCAACACAGGTGTCCTCAATGGGAAAAGAAATGCCAGAGCTGGTAGTGAAGCAGAACCTGCCTCTATCACTGATCACAAATGCTTGCCCCAGAAAATCAGTATAAACAGTTTTTAAATAGAGATTTATTTTAACCAGGAACCAAAACAACCTAAAACTTCAGTCATCAAACCCTGGAAACAACCCACAGTCGAACCCATTTAAAATCTTTCTTTGGCTTCAGTGAGATCTGGAAAATACATGTGAGTGGATAGATTCAATTATTCATTCAGTACACGAGATCAGTTTAAAAAAATAAACCTTTGCAGTAAAGTGGCTGTACCTATTACAGCCAGCAATGTAACACAGCATTAGTCTCCTTGTTACAATCCCTGATTCCTGCCGCAGGATCTTTTGCCTCTGCACCACGATGGAATGCTCTGATATGGTGAAGTCTCAAGAGGAATCGAGGTCACTAGAAGAACTTTTTTTTTTTTGATTATTTTAATCTGGCCAATATTAATGTTAACTAGCCTGTTCCAAGGTGAGGAAAATTAGGGCCTTTCCACATCTTGAACACTAACTGAAGACAAAGGGAGTTTCATCACACTACAGCTAGTAGGCTTTGATATTCTATATTTGTCCTGTGAATGCTCATACAGGTTCATCGTTTAAATTGACTTTTCATTTTGATGTATGTCCTGCAGACAATTAGTGTACTCGGGTATAGGCAGTTTGTACAGTAGGCAGGGATGATTTTTGATTACTTGTTAATAGTTACTCTAATGGAGTAACACCTGGACAGATTAAAGATACCCACAATACATTGGTAAATTAAATCATAGATTGATAATTATTATTGTAATTTATTCTTATATTATCAGAATTATGATCATCTGATCAACACCACTGCTCAGATTCCAAATCACAATAAAAAGAAATATTTAAACATTGCTCCAGGTTGATTTTGGAAAAGGAAGAACATGAATGTTGGTGATGCTGATAGATACCAATGTACGTGGTAGTATGCCAGATTATTTTATAAGAGTTACTTCAGCTTATTTTAAGTCATATTTATAAAAGGAAAACCTAGGAGATGAATCCTGTGTATGTATCAGAAATAATTCCACTACATGCAAAGAAGTTACATGAGGTTAACCTCTTGGCATATGAGGCTGGACAATCAGGGGTTTGTGGATAAGTTTTCACCAGTCTTTTCCTGACACAGCTTTCTAAAACCCACACCTTTCATTTAATGATTTTAAAGGTAAATACCATGACAGATATGAGCCATTTCTATTTGTTTTATGAAATAAGAAAGGAATATTTTTTTCACCTGATATGCTTGCAGTTCCCATTGACAATCGATCTGACACTTGTAATGTTGGATGCTGGAACACATATTTCCCTTCCACCAGGCAAGCCAATAGCAAGCATTAACTGGAGTCTGTACTTAGTGGAATTAGCTATGGTTAAGGTTGAGATCTGTTTTGTATTTTAACCCTTTGTATTCACTTGACTACATCCTTTCAAAAATAGCTCTCTTCAATTTGAGTTTATATAACTCTAATTTCAGGTAAAACATGTATTTCTACTGTTTATTAAAAATATGAGGAAAACTGCTGAAGATACTCTGAACAAACAGAAACTTCTTAGTTTCTGAGTAAGAATATGGAACTATGGTTTTGGACATGTTCAACTCAAAATAATCAGTATGAATACTAGTTTGATCAATTAGAAATCAATTATGAACAGGACAACTTGCTAGATCTCTTTTGTGATCTGCAGAGACTATTTTTCTTCTCTGTGTACTATGTATATACACCTCTCTTGTAATTTTATGGGACATCACAAGAAACAGAGGACCCCTCTTCTCCAGTTATTATAGGGATTTGAGATTATTGCCTCTGCAGACTCATGACCCAGGGAGGCTTTTCAAGTACCTGAGCTCACAGTATTCTGGGGTAGTATGGGATTCAGCACTTCCTTCATTTCTCTGCTGCCATTCATTTGCTTTTAACCATTGAACTGAGCATTTGCAGTACCATTAAAGAAAAACAATCCACAGTAATAACATTTTTAAATTAGAAATATGACAGAAAAGTATGTGAAAATATTGTATGTCCTTTACTATTGCCATTTCTCCAGAATTACTTCTGCAGTCTATTGTACTCTGCAAAGCCTTAAATCACATATATGAGTTTCTATCCTGTTTTGTGACAAGGTAAGGCCAGAATAAAATAAACAATTGCTGTTATGTCCTATTTAAGCCTGTGTAATAAACACATAAACCTGAGAACATAAATAACAACAGCAATGATAAAAATTCACCCCAATTACCTTTATGAAATATGAACATCAAAACTCTATTAATCTATATTAAACTATCTTAATAGCACTATTACTAAGCATAAACAATTCATTTTATTATTCTCTTTCTCCACATTCTTCTGTTAAATAGCTAAAAACCAGGGGGAAATAATGTCAATGTAATGTGTCATATCGGGGACGATACATGTTTCCTATAAACTATTTAGCTAAGTTGATTACTCTTGAATTTATTTTTTAGGTTTCAGTAGGTGTCATCACCATCAAATAGCACAATATTTCCAACAAGAAAATAACAAACTTGAAGTGCAAAAAAGCATATCTTATTAATTTATGACTTTTCTGAAAGAAAAGGAGAATGCCTAACACCTGAATTAGTCTCGAATTCCCAGCTGTGTAAATCTGGAGTTAGCAGTAACATAGGTTCCAAATGGAAATCTGTTTCTATGGAAATAGTAATTTGTTTTATTGTTGATGCTGTTGTTATTTTTAGCAATTACATTGAAGCACACAAGCAAAACTGATGTGATTCTGCATCAATCAGAACAAAGAAAAATAAAATCCAATACCAGTATTCTCTAGGCCTTGGGAACTGTGGAGATGGCAGATATGGAAGAAAGGGTATTTACTGTTGGTTTTGCTTTATCAAAATGAAAACAGTGTATCAGACAGAGGTGTAAGTGATGGCATAAACTCCGTAAGGTAGACCTGATTCAGTAGCACTGTAGTAAGCAGATCAATTCAAAATACTCATGATTTCTTTTCTCTTTCTCCAGCTTGATCACTATCCTCCAACAAGTTACAGCCTGCCAGCCACATCTGACATTCAGTTCAATTCCCCAAAGGCACTGTTCCTAGGAAAAGTTATAGGTAAGTTTTCATTTTATACCTGGGACAATGACGTGTGTCCAGTAGGACACTTGCTGGACACGTCATTCTTGACCAGAAAGTGGCTACACTGGAGTCATACCTGAAGGAGGGGTTGTGTTCACCTGATAACATAGGCTGATGAGCACACAAATTAGTGATTATCTGCCATGGATTGAGAAAAAAAAAAAAAATATGGGCAAAGAGAGGCAACACCGTGTTTGTGAAGTTTCATTACCCTCTCAGTGTCAGGTGGAGGCAATACAAGGAAATTATTGAGACCACTGCTTCTACAAGGAGATATTGAAGTTATTTTGAATATTATTATTCACTGTGAAGTTATAGAGTGGCTCGTACGGTGCCTTTATCCACGCAGACAGCTTTCTTATCCCAGTGCATCCTCCTGTGGCATAACTGTCCCTCAGCACTCTGGCAAAACCACCACCCTCTCACAGTAAGGCTCACCAGTGAGGTCCTTTGGAAGTCTGTAACATCTCATCTGGATATTTTCTAAACCTTTTATGGACCTCATGGTTATTTCCCAGTGCAGCAGCTTCCTGGCAAGCTGCCCAGATGAACTCAAGAGGCAATACAGATGCATCTGAAACTGCCTTGGACTCATTTTTAGGCCATCCTACATGCCATTGCTTAATTTTTCTGCTACTGACATCTTACATGAATATCAAAGGTTACTCACTTCAAGAATCAATTATTCCCAACATTTACAACTTGTGAGGAGGGCTTTTCCCCCTCTTTTCTGAGACGAAGGGGTATTAATGTTATTTCTTCTAAGCACTTTGTACAGAGATGTGGTTGTTTAAATTGCAATGAGGTTTTAACCCAGAAAATTGTAAATTTTTCTTTTTTTATTGGTGTAAGATATTAATCTGTGAATCCCACACACTGATTTTTGAAGTGGAAAAGTATTTGACCACATACTTAATGTGCCTTTTTGAAGATACACTTTTCCGTTTGTTTTGTTTTTAAAAGTTAACATGTTGAGATTCTGTTAAACAGGAAATGAAAATCCTTTAAAATGTTTGGTCAGCAAGAGAGTCATGAACTATTTTCTGGTACTCTCCAAGTCAGTTCTGTTGAGAGTACAAAAGATGATGCAGTCTGACTTTGGTCAATATTTGGAAACAGGATGCATTCCCACCTCATCACACTTCATTAGAGCAGTTGGACTGGAGCTGACTGTCTGACTCAGACAGGCTCATGGCGTCTTCATACATTAACTCAAAGTGAGGAGACAGAGACTTCAGGCAGAGCCTTCAGAAGCTGAAATAACTGCAGGAAAGGAATGGGATTCCTGGCATTGAATACTTAATTTTTCTAATAGCATGGGATTATATTAGCACTTTGCAAATATGATTCTTTTGCTTTCTCCTCTCTGCTTATGTTACTGTCTTTGCAAATAAGACAAAAGAACAATAAGCAAAAGAACATATCGGTACCAAAAAAAAAAAAAATAAAGAAACACACAAAAAAACCTTTTATTCTTTCTACCAAAGAAAAATTGAACTTCTCTGCAGAGAGATGGATTTCCTGATGTAAAATTGTTGTGCAACTGACCATGTCTACCAATAAACTTCACTGTGCAACTCTCAGAGTGATGTTGAATGAGAGAAGAGCACAGTTAACACGGTTACCCAAGTGCAGCAGTTTGAAGGGCAAAGTAGACACAGAATTCGGTACCGTTAAACCTTCTAATTGTCCCATCATACTGAGTAGGCATATTTTAGTGGCCCAGAGGGATTAAAACCAACAGAAGATCAGGATACATAGATCAAATTACAATTTGTACCCACCTGCAATTACATTCTCTAAATGGGCAATATGGGAGTAGACTCCCATTTCACTGCTAGTCTGGCATCAGTTGCATTCAGGTTCTGTTGTTCCCATACGATGCAATTCTCATTTGTCATCAAAAAATGAATGCAAGACCCTATTTTTAAAGACAGATGGGTTTTTGAAAAGCACTCTGGAACAATCTTACTAAGAAACTGATCTTCTGTCTGTCTTATTTCCATTTTTATTAGTGTTATTTGCATAGGACCGGCTTCTGCCACAGATGCTCTTGCTGTGATAGATAGGTTTTTTGCTACCCATCAGAAATGATCCCTTGTGCAACACCTACCACAATGCAACATCACTTTCTGCTCTAGGTGTTACAACAATATAGCTGATTAATAAAATGTTGCCTCATAACCATTCATAACAGCAGGAGGGTCAAATCAGAAAACAACAACAAATAATTGAATTGCAGTTGTAAACAAGGAGAATTTCTTCTTTAAATTGAGGTGTTTTCTGCTTTCTTGAAATAATTTTTTAAAAATGCAGTTATTCACTGGCTTGGAGAACACTGATATAAAATAATTTTAGCCTTCTGGGAAATTGAAGATAAAGGTATTTAGTACATAATTCTTACTCAGGTAAAATGGATTATGATTTGAGGTGTGAAATAAAGCTGAAAGACACAAAGAATGAAAAATCCTGTTTTACATGCGTGTCTAGTAACAAAAATAATAGCACTAGAAAAATGCAGGATTTTATAAAAATGATAGAAAGGTAATTTTAATGTTTCAGGGAAGTTCTTTAATCTGTTTTTTAGATATATTTAGGCTTTAATGGTTGATACAGACAAGAAAAGAGGGGAAAGCTGGCTATCTGGATGACCAGCTCTAAAGAGAAAAAAAATAAAAATTAGACAACATGACAGGAATCTGCATTTTCATTTAGGCTGGAGCTTGAAGCTCATTACTAAGGTAGAATAGAGCAGAGGTTTGACTTTTCCATTAAGTGGAAAATTTCATTGGATGCAATACTCAGGTTTGTCTTCACATCCTTTTTGGAGACCTTTACTGTCATAGTCTGTACTTTATTACTAAAATTGGAGTATTTCTTTAGTTGTAATATGCGTTTATAAAGAATTGGCTTCATGTAATTAAAGATTACTTTTTGTAAAAGTATCATTCTGGTGAACAGAAATAATTTGAGAGTTTCTTAATAGGATATATGATTGAGCACTGAAACACCAAGAGCAGGCAAGAGCTGCTCTTGAGAAAGTGTCAGGGATGTAAGGGAAATGTGTTCCTTGTCTGTTTTTCATCTCCAGCAACCACTCCAAATTAAATTATATCTTTTCAGAAATACCTTAATATCCACTTGGAAACAATTGACATAATACAAGTCATTTATAACACAGGTTATCAATTTCAGAACTGACTGCTACCCCTGCAGCTAATCTCTGTAGGCTCCCTTTATAACTCTACCTCAAGCTAGTGGTCTTCAGGTACTTCCAGTAAGAGTAACCAAAAGGGACCTTTCAGGTCTCCCTTCCTTCTTACAAAACAGCTGCCGTCACTCTACAGCTAAAGAGTCATCCTAGAAATCAACCCCAGGGGCCTGGATTCTTTTCTCGAAAGGCAGTTTCCTTGAGATGGAGTGGTAGAAGGTCCATTTCTAGATGGGGGTTTTTCCTGGTGTTAATGTAAAGATGTTTTATTGTTTCCTGACTGGAGTTTCTTTGTTTCTTTACCGGGATGTGTGGTGAAAATATAATTGGCCAGGAGACATTTCTCTGGATTCACTGTGACATTCACCACCTTGCACAGATGGAAGGTAACACCATCTCACATCTAGAAAAGTAATTAGTTTCAAATGTGCAAAGGAGAGAACACAGAAATACTCCACAAAAAGTAGGAGATAAATGACATTGCTCACATGGCTTAGGGAAAGTATAGAAATGAGAACTGCTTTTTCTTTTTTTTTTTTGCATGGAACCCATCCACAAATAGCAACTGAATAGTAGGAGGCAAAATCTCAAAATCCTTTGAATTTCCAGCAGGTAAAATGGCAATTATTCCAAGAGGTAATAATTCTTTACTCCTAGAAAAGGTACTTTCTTTTCTATAGAACAAGCCTGGCAGTTTGATGCTTCAACACTTGGGGCTGAATAACAGCAATGACCTACAAATTCACCTGTTCATCTCATAATTCATCCTACCAAAGCCATCACACACTTTCAAAACCAGCTTTGGTGTTCCTGTTTACACAAAACTGCAGAGTTTTATCACTTAGAGGCTTTTTTTCATGCTGATGAGTGAACATTTCATCTCTTTGAGAAGATTAACCATCATTGAAAAGAGGGCTTTGATAGCCTTGATAAAAAAATTCTTTAAAGGACATACTCATAATTGGTGCTCAGTTTGAGTATGCTGCTAGACATTGACATCATCTGATGGGAAATTAATGTTAATAAAACAAAACATTGAACCAAAATACCAGTTTAGAATTAGATCTCTGATACTGTAAAGTACTTTGCTCAGCTCTCAAATTTGGATACTAGAAGATAGTGCAGAGCTGTAAATAGATCATGAATAATCTGAAAGTATTCTTCTGCTGCACATCTGTGACATGTATCTACTACTACTTCATGATCATAATGAGGTTAAAACTCCATTATATATGTTAGCAGTGTGGCAGTCAGAGCTCCAGAGCTTGAGCTCTGCTGCTCTTTCTTCATCTTACAGTGTAGACAGGCAGTCTGAGAGCTGGGTAGGTTAGCCTACTTTCACTGATAATGAGCAGAAAATAGCTAGCATGCAGAAAATTCATCCACTAACTTACTTCAAAGTAAATGCCTGCTGCTTCATTTCTGAGCACCAGTATTAACATTCAGTACTGTAATACTCAGTGAGAATACATATTGTCAAATAGGAGGAGCCCTCCTCCTACAGTAGATAGCAGTTGAATGTTAAAAACATGCTTTCCCCTGCATGAGTCACATATAAGTTCTCATACAAAAATATAATATCTGGACAATATTCCTTGTCCTGCTGCTCCTATATAATACTACCAGCCTGGTTGAAACAGCTCTGGGATTTAATATTGTCTGTCTCTCTGGTCTCAGATCTATCTGTCAGTAGCACACTCTTTGAAGTGTTTCAGGTGAAAGTGGAAATGTTCCACAGCTCTTCTAGTTAAAAACAGACCAAAGA